GTCTCAGGGTTCTGTACAAAATTCTGATGTTTCTGTCTTGCCTGAGAGACCTTCTGAACCCTCCTGCACGGTATGCAAATATTTTTGCTCATTTTAGCACTACTTGTTACCTAAGATTGTGTGAGTATGCATGTAATGTGTTGCTGTTTCATAGTTACTTAAATCATACTGTGGCAGTTTTACATGAAGACGGGGACATGTAAATTTGGTGCTACCTGCAAATTTCACCATCCAAGAGATATACAATTGCCATCTCCAAAACAAGAAAGTGGCTCTGCGGAAAACCCTGGATCAGCTAATAATGAGATGACTGAGGATGTGAATCTCATCAAGCCGCTTTCTGTTCCAGCTTTATTGCACAACTCCAAAGGCCTTCCTATTAGACCGGTACTTCATATATTTTATCATTTATCTTCATTGAGTAAGAATGTGTTACATGCTTCTTTCTTGTTTTGTTTGCTTTTTGGTTTGTTTTTTTCTTTTCTCCGTTCCTTTTGTGCTGTCACAAGATAGCTATTAATAGACTGCAGTTTTTTGTCTACTTCATTTGACAATTATTATCATGATTTTACTATAGCAAAAGAATTATGTATTGTGATATTTCGATCCTGGCACCGCAATTTGACTTTGAGGATTTATTGTGATGAAGAGCGTGTTGTTCTTAAGACAATCTAACTAACTAATTTTTCACCTACTGCTGACCCAAGGATCTTAAAGCATCTCATGTCTTTTTCATTACCTGTGTAATGGGTGCCACTGCCATCGTAGTGATGCTAGGCTACATTGAAGTTTGATTCTTTTCTTCAGGTATTTGTCTACAGTATGTTTCCATTTTGTAGATCCGGGTACTTCTGGAATGTACTTACTATTTGGAGAAAATTAGCATATAGAAATTTTTAAGAAGAAAATTAGCAAATAGAGATTTTAACCTCTAGGAAGAGAAAGCAGAAGAGAATATGAGTATTCATCCATAAGGACCATGGCTTTTCTTTTTGATAAACTAATCATAACTTAGCTACTTGAAGCTGGCTGTTTTTGTTAAGCTTAATTAGATATGCTAAGAGGTGTATTTTCAGAGACCCACAGTAAGCAGTTCATTCTTCTGGTTTTTATCTTTTACAGGGTGAAGTTGATTGTCCTTTCTACCTAAAAACTGGCAGGTTAGTCTGTTTTTGTTGGTAAACATGGGAGTTTTTCTACTTTTTGTTCTTCTGCTAACAGTTTAAATACTCAATAAGTTGGACTACTCATTGGTTTACAACGTGTCTTTCTTTTCTGTTTTTGGGGTAAATATCAAACAGCTGCAAGTATGGAGGCACTTGCCGTTACAACCATCCTGAAAGAAGTAAGGATATTAATAAGTTCTGTTGGAACATTGCTAAAATATATTTCTCTGTCTTGAGCTTGTTTGCCGTTCCTACTAAAAACAAAGGTTCTTGTTTGTCTTCTGTTTGTTTTGAATTTTATAGGTTTTGGTCTGATATGTAACTATGTGTGACACATTATCTGTTGAATCTAATCTAGTGTCAGCATACTTCTTTCTCGTGTGAATTTCTAGGATTAGAAAATGTGTTATGTTCTCAGAATTTTTTTAATAAATGTCAATGTATCTTGCAAATTATTAAAATAAAGGGATTGCTGGGACAAAAGTTATCAAGTAGCACTTGCGCCCAGTCTTCCGCGGGTGTGTTCTAAAGGTTGATAAAGTTGGAATGAAGACTGTATGAGACTAGGGTTTGAATACCGGTAGAGTCAAAAAGTTAGGTGGTGATTGCTTCTCATCTTTTTGAGTCTTGGTAGGTAGAGCTAACCAGTACTTTTACTATTCGGAGGATGCAGGCATCCGATGGAATAGTCGAGGTGTTTGCAAGCAGGACATGACACCACCATTATAAAAAAGTGATAAAGTAGTACTCATCAGTGTCATTGAATTTAAAGATGCTCACTAGATTTCAGTTTAATCTAAACAGTTGAGAAAGACCTATAAACGAAATTTCAGCTGGTGGCATTATTCAAATACTTAACATAAAAAATTTAATGCCTGGAGTCAACTACTGATTCTCTTTCACTTGGTACATTTTCATCCTCCAGCAGCTGCTATTGGTCCTGCCCTTGTAGCCTCTCCCGCAACACATTTGAACATTGGAATGGTTAATCCAGCTGCCTCTCTCTTGCAAAATTTAGATCCAAGACTGACTCAGACAATGGTATAAGCAGTGTTCAGTTTGTATTTCCTATAAAAAGCTTTGGAACATGTTACTGAGTGTATTGTTTATTTCAATGCTGCAGCTTGGGTTGCTTTCACCTGTCTATCCACAACGACCTGGACAAATTGAATGCGATGTGCGTACCTACTTTGTCCTAAGACATACTTGAAAGAGATGTGAATTACTACTCTCAAGCTGGATGCATGTGACATTCTTTTGGGTCCTGGACTATGAGCCATATTTTGTTACTTATCAGTTAGAAGGCATTTTTATGCTGTTCCCCAATCAAAAGGTGCCGCTTAATTGGCATTAGATCTGTATATCTTAGGGCCGGAGGAGCATCTTTTGCAGCCTTTTTGTCTGGTGCTTGCACTTCTGTGGAAATGATTGCTCTTTTTCCTTGAACCTCTCACTTGTCTTGACTGTTGAATTCACCTACCTTTGCCAAAAGAACGGAAGTACATTGTATCAATCCTAAAAAGGACATGGTAAACCTTTCAAAACATGAACATAGTTTGCAGTACCATCTATATCAGATACTATCTGGAGTCTAGTAAATGTAGCATTGTTCTTACCTCTTGTTGACTTTTAAATTTATTACTTCAAAGGACAAGTGCATGTTATTAGGCCCTCATCTATGCCTTTTTAAGAGTTGACTTACAGTATGCATACATATACACATAACGTATACACAGTAGATACTATAGGGAGCTACCTGTAGTGTTGAATGAGTTCTCATTCTTGTTGCTATACTATTATCTAAATCAGCCATGAATTTCTCTTCTGATATTTTCAGTATAATTGGATCTAGTCATTCACTATCTTTCTTTTGCACATCTTGCTTGGTCTGTCATGTTGTCCTTTAGTTCTATATGAAAACTGGGGAATGCAAGTTTGGTGAAAGATGCAAGTTTCATCACCCTCTTGATCGTTCAGCACCATTAGTGTCAGCGAAGGATGTGCAGCAGCCAAATGTTAAGCTTACTCTTGCTGGTCTACCAAGGAGGGAGGTACCTTGTTAACCTTTTACTTTCTAAACCCTAAATATGACATGTTCATTTTCTAGTGGGCGAAGTATTTCAAAGCATTATATAAATTTTCTGATAACCTGATTCTTCTTAGTGGGGTTCAACAACCTCAAAAAAATGTGTTGGTTAGATCTTCATAAGCATTGGCAAATAACACGATAACACCGTACATTGGATAACTGTTTATAATAAACTATAACAGATGTATGACTACCGCTAAAAACAAATAGACTTCCGCATAATTCCTACTAGTGCATCTTGTTACAGGTATTAGATTGCACCCAATGGTTGTGTGTTTGAATATCTTCTGATCAGTGAAAACCCCTCACAGAATACTAAATTTCTCTACAGATATGTACATTTGCAATTTATTTCCATCCCCCGTCCATTCTTAACAGGGCATATAAACTTAACTCCTCAACTTTAGTTGATGGCTGTTATTCTTTGAATTGTATCTAAACCTTTTCTCATTTACTTGGTCTGTTGGAAATGCAAGTGTATGATTTTTTTTTCCTTTAATTTTTTGTGATGATACAAGCAGGGTGCTGTACACTGTCCATACTATATGAAGACTGGAATGTGCAAGTATGGGGCTACATGCAAGTTTGACCATCCACCACCTGGAGAGGTCTTGGGTATGGCAACATCGCAAGGGGCATCCTTATCTGTTGAGGGAGAAGATACGGTTGATGTGAAAGAGCAGCAGCAGTAATGTTATGGCTTAAAGGCCTTTCTTGTAGTCACCATCTTTTTCAATTACTACTTCTGTTACCATTTTATAGCAAACTTATGATTTGTGAGGCATAATTTTTCTTGATGAGTTCCTGACATTTTTAGAGTTCGAACAGTTTCCCGTCCACACCAGATGATGAAAGTTTTTATAGCTATAGTATAATATGCTTTTTAATTTTGCACAAAACCTATCTCCAAAACCCGAAAAAGTAAATAAAACCCATTGTGAAATCGCATGTCATGCTCTTTGCATGTGTGCATTTTTAGATTTATTACTTTAGCCCTCTTGGAAAGATAGAAAAGCACCTAAAGACTACAATCGGTATGAGTTGAGTCAGGACGAAGAAGGATAAGAAGCTACCAATCACAATTTAGAGGGTGTTTGGATTGGCTTTTAAAAGGTAGCTTCTAAGCTAGAAGTCATAAGTTGGTAATACCCAGCTTTTCGCTTATTTTTATACTTTTCATGCCTAAAAGTAAGTGCTTTTAAGTACTTTTTATAATTGTCAAATACCATAAAAATTAGAAAAGTGATTAAAAGTCAATAAACACCTAAAATAAGCCAATCCAAACATCCTCTTAATACAACACTGGTCGCAAAGTCTTCGAAAGATAGGGAACTGAAGAATGAAAAAGAACTCAAGAACAAGAAGGTAAAGAGAAAAATCAAAGATGGAACGCAGTAGTGGCAAAAATTACCAATCACATTTGGCTTCAGGTGACAAAGATTAACGAAAAGATACCAGCATGAAATAATGTATGATGAACATCAGATTCAATTACACCTATATTCATGAGAATGAGATTTAATTATAGTTACCTTCTTGCCTATTACCATATAACGTTTACCAGAACATGTGAGTAAAAATAACGATAAATTCTTTTGCTCTTATATGCCTCATCGGAACAAGAGATGTGTATCTTACCATTATGAACGATTACGAAACTATAGCCAAATCCCAACAGATCGACAGAACAATCTGACTTATGCATCACAATAGGTCTGCTAATTATAAATAACCAATTGAATTTAAGCAAGTGTTGTTTTAATATATTTTGCAGTATTTTAAAAGGCGTGGGCATAAGACGAATCGTTTTACATATGCCTCAGTGAGGCATAAGTCCCGAGGCACGGGGCGTAAGCCCCATGAGTATTTAATTTTTAATATTTCATAAAATAATATAATTATAGTAAATATTTTAAAATATGTAAAATTGCATAAAACTTGAAGAAAATTATAAATAAGTGAAAATATATATAGATGTGCTCCATCCCCACAAAAAAACTAGTCAAAATAATCCATTATATGCTCCTTACAAGCACAAGTAACTTGAATTGAAAAGAATAAAGTTGTCTAAATGGAGGACCAAAAAGGATGACTAACCTGCAATTTGAACTTTGAACTTGCTGCTATGGAGGAGATTGAGTTTTCTTTGTATTTGAAAAAAAAAATTTGATTGTTCGTTACTTTTGGGAGATAGTGACAGACTAGTGGACAAGATAAATAATTGGGAAAGACCATAAATTAGAGCTTCTAGCAATAAAAAAAAGGGATATTATCACTTTTAGCCCGCGCCAAAAACTATTTACATCTGGTAGCCGAAAAAGTGTATAAAATTTGTATAATTTTTGTATATAACATACAGAATGTATATATATACAAAAAATATATAAATTTTATACACTTTTCGACTATTATTTTTACAGCGGCTATACAATATTATTTTTTCCATAAAAAAAGGTCTTGACTTTTAAATTTAATGTTGCAGTTCCTTTTTAAAAATTTTGAGTACTTACAAGCCGACTTTTGAGAATTTGGGTATTATATTAAGGACTTTTTCAGCAAATTTTGTTTTAATTTGAAAAAGTCTCTTGGGCTTACGCATCACTATAAAAACTCGCCTCAATGCCCGGGCGTACACTTCAAATTGCTGGGCGTACACTTCTTGAGACTTTCGCCCCCACCATCGTCTCAGGGTATTTTTGGTAAGCCTTGCCCCGAGGCTCGCTCCGAAAACGCCTTTTAAAACACTGATATTTTATTTTGCAGCATTTTAGGCCAAAGATCCAACTTATGATCTCTCATCTCTCGTTGGAAGTCAAAAAGTGACACTTAGTAGACAAACGAAAGCTATAAGGGTATAAGAAACTGGCTAAAAATCTTTACACGCGAGTCAGTTCTTCAAAGCTTCACTTATGATTCGGCTTAATTAAAAGAATAAATTTGTCAGATGAAGTAGCGAAGACATGGAAAAAGAAAGACAACGACAAAGGGGAGATGAACTGCGGAAAATGGATTAGCTAGGTATGAGAAAAAACATAACCTCATATAAAGTTGTTTAAGCAAAAGACAAAGCAGTAGCTGTAATGGTAAAATCTAACTCTTACACGTGGATAGTTTACGTGGTGACATGATGTTGCCCGGGATAAGTGTCATTCTTGGAGAGATGAATGAATAGTAGAAGTTTGCCCTCACAAGAAATATCTTCACCCCGAACGTAGCTCCTTTCCGGGGAGATGGAAGCAGTGCCATGGTGAAACACTCCAAAGACAATTCGGGTTATTTTGAAATTATTTTTAGATTAAACAGTTTGACGTCCAATGCGGACCCTAACAATTGAGCGTTTGACTCAAAGCTCTGGTTGTTTGTTCTCATTAAAAGTCTTGTCTCTAATTTTTTAATTTTCTTTCTATTTTGTAACTCAGAATGACTAGAAAGAACGCTCAGTCAACTAATCAGAGCATCTCAATCGCCAAGGAAAGCAGGCCCCACCTAGGGGTAAGGAGGTACCGGTTAGCAAAGATGCAACATCCAGCAAAGGAGCTCTACTAAACAAGTATGAGTCACAACACAAAGATCTTCCCTTCAACACGGACTTGCCGACCCACAACTTCACCGAATAGAGTGGCGAATCCTCACCATAGGATTTTTGAGGGGCATCACCTCGAAGGAATTCCTTGGATCAACCAAATTTAGAGAAAACCTTGAAGTCTTTCATGGCTCAGCAACAAAGTTTGAATGCTCAGATAGGTGTAATGTTCTATGTTGATTTGGGGTAACAACCGTAGCAGTACACCAACCCTCCCCTTCCCCAAATAGGAATGACTATGGCCACGGATACCCCTAACTCATGCTGAAGGCTTCCGGAATTTCTAACAGTTTCGAAGCCGGAGAACAGGTACATCCAAGAATGCCAAACAATAAAGTTTAATACTAATCATCCAACAACAGGTTAAGGAACAGAATAAGAGGATCAAGTAGATCCTAGGGGTTCCACCCATTACCAAGGGAATCGACATAAACAAGTACTCTCAGTAACCATGGAAATCAAGCACTGAGAAGTTCGAAATACCAGACATTCTAAATTTGAAAGAACCTGAGACTCATGCGACTAGGTCATTACTTACACAATCGGAATCAAAGGGAATGACCCCACAAAGGAAGAAATCAGATTAGTGCTCGTCAAGAAGTTCGAAGAAACCCTAACAAAGGGAGCTTTAACTTGATATTCCTATTTACCTGAAAATTGCATTAGTTCTCTTGTTGAACTTGCAGATGCCTTCATCAAAGCACACTCTAGAGGCCAAAAGGTGGAGAAGCAAGTGAAAGACATCTTCAAAGTCCTACAAGGAAGAATGAAGTCGCTCCGAGACTTCATCGATCGATTTCAAAGGGAGAGTATGTTGCTTCTCGAGGTTCCAAATAATTGGGCCGCTGTGCCTTTCACAAGAAACATGAACCAGAATAGTTTAGAAGCCTGAAAGAAATTAAAGGAGAGCGTACGAGAGTTTTCAGCGAAAACATGAAATGATATGTACCACAGGTACATCACTAAGGTTTGAATAGAAGATGATATTTCAGCACTCCCAAGATTTGAAGGAAAGGAGATGACCGGATACAATCGCCGACCCGAAGTAGTTCGTAGATGAGACGAGCCCAAGCACGAGACTCTAGGATCTGATATGAACCTTATACCAGATCCATGCATGGAGAAAAAGATTGAAGGCTGAGATAAGGTCGATATGATAGAAACTTTTTGTGGAGGAACGATGTGGTACCTCATCGAGCAAGAAAGGAACCGAAAACATATTAAATCAATGAACATTAACCTAGACCGCACTCACTAAAACCTCAATGTCAACACCACAGAATCATTAGAAGTACTCGGAGACATGGGAGACAAAGTGAGGTGGCTGAAGAAAATGAGGACAGAAATCCCCGCAAAAGAAGCTAGGCACGCTGGTGTGAATTCCACGGCGATCATGGATATAAAACTACATAATGCAAGGAACTACAGGGCGAGGTGGATCGACTCCACAAAATGCATTACCTTATGGAACTTTTCAATGAAAGGACAAGCCGGAGTAGAAATCACTTTCAATGATAAAGATGCAGATGGGCTGATCATGCAACATAACGATGGCCTGATAATTATCACGCGAATTGTTGACACTGATGTTAGACATTTTTTAATTGATCCAGGTAGGCTGGCCAACATCATCAAAATGTGAGTGGTGAGAAGATGTAGTCGGATCATCCCAAAAGCATTACTACTCTATGAATTCAATAACTCTAGAGATGACTATAGGCGAGATCACTCTGATGACCTTTGCTGAAGGGGTAACCAAGGAGACCCTGTTCCAAGTGGTGACCCTATCCTAGAAAGACCATGAATACATGACCTGGATGCAGTACCATCAACATTACACCAAGTAATAAAAATTCTTTTCATCATGGGGAATGAGAGTGATCCAGGGAGAGCAAAAAACTACTAGGAAGTTAATTCAATTGCAACTACCAATACCCTTCCCAAAGGGGAAGCAGACAAATAGCAGCTATAACAGTATGTTCCGGAGCAAACTGAATCATCTCCCAATGATCGAATCGTCAAACCAAAAAAGAATAATTCTATATATTCGACTATCGAAGAGTTGAAGGAAATGATTTTATTCATCCAATGGTCGGACATGAAGGTCTACATTGGTTTGGCGTTGACCCCCAAACAAAAACGTAAATTAATTGAATTTTTATATGATAACGTAGATTGTTTTACTTAGTCTCATGCAGACATAATACATGCGAGGTAATGGCACACAAATTGAATATCAACCTGAATTACCGTCCGGT